AAGAAAAAAAAAAAAGAGCCCAATGCTGGGTTTTGGTTACCATCCCTCAAATTGTTGTTTGGGAGTATCTTGGAGAGCCCGCCCCCACCATTCAGGTTTTTTTAGGGGTCATTTTTTTTTTTTTGGTTGTCCATCATAATTTGATGGTAGAACTCTGTTCTTGAAGATACCATACATTTTGGCCATAAGACATGGAGAAACAGAGGTAGTAACCAGGGACCTTCTTCCTTGTTCTCTAGTTTTCATAGCTCTGGGAGGTGGTTGCTATTTAGGCTGCTTTTGGAGGAAAGTTATTAATAGCCTGACCCAGCTGTGAACACTGTGAGCTACAATAATGACCAACATGAAGACAATAGTGACATGCATGTTAAGGGAGATAACAACCACTTCCTGATTAGAGGGAAGGCTGGCTGCAGAGCAGAAACCACATGATTAATACTACTGCAAACCTGGTCAAGAACCCATGGTTGGGAAACTCATAGACACTAAGAATGACAGCTACTCTATTTGCTTATAGGTTGACGATACTCCAGTGAATCGCCTCACACCCTACACCCAGAAGTATAAGGAAAACACAAACTGGAAATACTGAAGTATAAAAATAAAAATAAAAACTGACACAAATTTGGGAAGGAATTGGGAGTAAGGGTAGATTTAGAATGAGTTAGAGGGATGATTAGGAAGTGAACATTATCAAAATGCATTATATATGATTATGGAAGTTTATAATAGCATTGCATTAAAACGTGGAAAAAACTCAAAATATCATATTACTAAAGGAAACATACAAAAAACCCGCAACCTTCATCAAAATATTCATGATATCTTTGCTAGCTAGTTTTATGCCATCTTGACACAAGCTAAAATCATTTGGGAAGAAGGAACCTCAACTGAGGAAATGCTCCCACCAGACTGACATATGGGCAAGCCCATCGTGCATTTTCTTAATTATTGATTGATGGTGTACCTGGTCCATTGTGGGTGGTTCCACCCTGGGGAGTTGGTCCTGCAGTAAGTAAGAAAGCAGGCTAAGCAAACTTTGAAGAAAAAGCTAGTATACAGTGTTCTTCTAAGGTCTCTACATCAGTTCCTGCCCTGACTTCTCTGGGTTATGGACTGAACCCTCTCATGCCCAGGTTGCTTTCGGTCATGTTGTTTCACCACAATAATAGAAATGCTAACTAAGACTACACTCTTCATAGTACGAGAAAAAAATTCCAAAAATTATTTGAGAACACAATGAATACTAAAGTAATCTTATTTTTAAAGATCCATGCTGAAATCTTCATAAAGAATGAGAAGATCTTAGCATGCAAACAATCAAGTAGACCAATGGAACAGAAGGACAGAGTACCAATAAATATAGCAGCATATCTTTAACCCACCCAGTCACAGCAAGGGTACTGAAAATATATTGTATAATAAATTGGGGCAAAGGACATCATCTGTTGCAAATGGCATGGAAAAACTAGAGAAAACGTGTAGAAAAATGAAACTAAATCTCTATTTCTTAACTTGTCTAAACTCAAACTTGTCAATTCAAAATGTGTTAAAAATGTTACTTAAGACTTGAAATTCACACTCCCAGAGGAAAGCAGAGAAATTCATTTTATGATCCCAGCACAGGCAATGAGTTTTTGGGTAGAACTACAAAATCAGTAGAAAAAAAAAAATCAAGAATTGGTAAACAGGATTCTGTTAAATAAAAACAGTTTTTTCCTTTATCACATAGGGAAATAGTCCTAAGAATGCAAGAAAAAATCCAATAACAGGAAGGAATATCTTTGCCAGCTATTATCTGACAGATAATCGATACCCATATGTGATGTAGAGGTCAAAATATAAACAACCCAAAAAATGTATAAATGATTTTAATAAACACTTCTCAAAAAGAGAGAAAACACAAAGGCCCAATAAATATAAGAAAAAATATGTCATAGTCTTAGCCACCAAATAAATGCCAATCAGTATTACATTGGAAGCTCATTTCACAACAGTGAAAATGAAAACTAACCAAGAAAAAGGAAAATTAAAACATTCTGACAAGGTTGTACAAAGGGCAAACATACACTGCATTGTTGTAAGAAGTTAACATAATACTGAAAATGGTATAGTGAATCATCATTCTGTAAACGCCAAACCTCCATATTTTTAAGCCACAGCACACATGGATACACTTGCAAAGGAAATGAAATCAGCATAGGAAAGAGATTCCTGACAGCTTCTTTTCACTGTGGCTTTATGTACAATAGTTAAGTGATGGATTCTACTTAGCTGGAGGTCAAGAGAAGAATGGGTGTGCTGGGTAGTTCTATGTGAACTTGACACTAGCTAAAGTCATTCATAAGGAGGACATCTTAAGTGGGAAAATGTCTCCCTAAGATGAGGCTGTAGATCATTTTCTTAATTGGTGATTGATGGGGGAGGGATCAATCAATTGTGGGTGGGGCCACACCTGGACAGGTGGTCCTGGATTTTGTCACAAAGAAGGTTTAGCAAGCAATGGGGAGTTAGCCAGTAAACAACACTCTTGCCCCACTCTATGGCTGTGGAATCAGCTCTTACCTCCAAAATCTAGCCCTCCCCAACTTGCTTTGGTCACAGTGTTTCTTCATATCAATAGTAACCCTAAGTAGGACAATGGGTAAAGTAAATGCTATATATGTATACATACACATCGAAGTCTTATTTACTACAAAGAAGCATGAAATACTGACACATGCATAAAAATGAATGGAAATGGAGATTTTCATCTTAAGTGGAAATAAGCCAGGTTCATAAACAAATATTGCTTCATTTCCGATAAATGTAAAAACTGAGTAAGTCAGCACTGCAGGGTGACCTTCACTCATAAGTGGATTCTAGACATAATTAAAGGTCTTTGAGTCTATTATTCGTGATCCTAGAGAAGCTAAATAAGAAGGTGAACCTGAAGAAAATCATGTACTTATCCTCCTGGAGATTGGAAATAGACAAGAGTCCCAGGTAACCTCAGGTGCATGGCGGGGGTGGGAGGGTTGTTGGAAGGGGAGAGGGTTAGAGAGAAGGGAGTAGGGGAGGAATAGGGAAAGCTCGGTGGACTGGGATTGGGGGGAGGGAGGAAGGATGGATATGGGATCAGGGAAGAATATATCTCAACTAAGGGAGTCATTTTAGGGTTTACAAGAGACTTGATTATAAATGGGATCCCAGCTCCAAGGAGAGATCCCCGGATTGTTCTCTGGACAGAGGAGAGGGTGCCTGAACTGCCTTGGCCCATAACCATACTAATGAATATTTTGCTTATCACCATAGAACCTTCATCTGGCGATGGATGGAGATAGAGACAGAGACCCACATTGGAACACTGGACTTAACTCCCTAGGTCCAAACGAGAAGCAGAAGGAAAGAGAACGTGAGCAAAGAAGGCAAGACCAGAGGGAACCTTCATCCGATGATGGATGGCGATACAGACGGAGACCCACATTGGAGCACCGGACTGAGCCCCCCAAAGGTCCAAATGAGGAGCAGAAGGAGGAAGAACATGAAAAAGGAAATTAGGACCGCGAGGGGTGCGATCACCCACTGATACAAGGGAACTGATCTAATGAGAGTTCTCCAAGGCCAGTTGGACTGGGACTGAACGAGCACATGATCCAACCAGATTCTCTGAATATGGCCGGATTCTCTGAATGTGGCTGGTCCCGAGTCTTTCTGAAAAGCCATTGACAATGACACTGGGACTTGTTTCCTCTGCATATACTGGATTTTTTGGGATCCAGTCTGTTTGGATACTCACCTTCCTGGACCTGGAGGGAGAGGGGAGGAACTTGAACTACCCACAGGGCAGGAAACCCCGACTGCTCTTAGGGATGGAGAGGGAGGAGGAGAGGGAGTGGGGGGAGTGGGAGGGTGTTGGAAGGGGGGCGGAAATGGAAACTTTTATAATTTAATAAACTTTGAAAAAAAATGTAAAAACTGAAATCCCAACCAAAAAAGCTCTGAAAGTAGAAGAGAGTCCTTTGGGGTTTGGAAATGCACCAGTAAAGGAGGAGAGAAAAGGGAGGTGGGGGAGGCCAGGAAGTAGAAACCATAAATCGACATGATAAATACATTGATGAGAATGCTACAGTGAATCTTATTAATTCATACAATAAACACACAATAACATTCATGTAAAAAATAAAAAGTGCTGTTGTATTGCTTCTCTATATGGCATGGTAGAAAGGGTAGAAAGGGCAAGTGTACAGCCGAAACCTATTTGTAGATTCTATGGTATGGGAAGGAAGAGGGGAGAGTTGATTATAAACCATAATTACAAAGAAACTTTCAGGCAGATGAAATTCTCTACAGATATGTTATTTATGGAGCTGGTTACACTGTAGCTGACATGTGTGGGCTTCATACAAGGGTGCCCTAAATGGTTAAGTTTTATTATTTATAAGCAATATGTCAAAATCTGACTTTCCAGTAGTACAAATTTATCAACATCACTAATTCTAGCCCAGTGTAAAGAGATATTCAACAATTTACAGATATTGATGAAAAAAAGAAAAGGATTTTTTTTTATTCTTGGAAATATTTTTTCTAATTGCCTATTTTCAGCTTTCCAATTAAAAAGTCCTTGTGATTTACTTAAGAAGTAAAAATTACAAATTAGTTTTTTTAAAAAATGGCCGCATTGAGCAAGAGCCTGCCTTGTTAATGAAATAACAAGTTCATTAAAGTAATGTCTGTAAGCAGTAATGCTTCCTTAAGTATACGCTTGTTTAATGAGCTCATTGTATGCTAATCACCCTCTCTCAAGTTACGTGCTATTGTTTCTCTCTTTGCAGTTCAGGAGTCACCATCAGAGTTGCTATTGTTTACCTCTTGTGGTCTAGTAAGTAATTTCATAACTTAGAAAGGTAATGGAGATAAGTCAACTACTTGAAACCTTCACACAACTGTAACTCACATGTATAATACAACCTGGAGCAGTAATAGCTCCTGGAAAAGTGACAAGCCGGCAAACGCCTTACCTTTGTGTCGGGGTCACGTAGCTGCTATCGTAAGCCTCGTAGGTCTGGTCATCATATTCACCCCCGTAGCCATCATCGTACCCCTGAAATAGACGCCAATATAGTAACTTTTACAAATCGGTCTGCTTTAATAATTTTTGTTTTCTGAAGATTTATGCCTAATAAGCCTGGGTTAATTTCCATGCTTGGTTATATTTGAATACATTTACAATTTCCACATGATGAAAAATACTGCAGTTTTTTTTCTGTCCTTTTTGGTGACATCTGTGATTTTTTTCCTTAAAAAGAAAGAAGTGAAGTTGGGTGAGTAAGAAGGGGGTGGTTTCTTGGTGTAGTTGGGAGAGGGCAAAGAATATGAACAAAATATATTGTATGAAAAATTTATAAAAAGTAAAATATATATTGGAAAGGTTTAGCACTTGTCAATTAAACTTCTAATCTATCAAAGACACGGAAATATCTATTTTAAGAGTCATTTAAAATTTTAATATATAAAATATATAATAAAGACAAGTTAGGAAATTAGATGTAATCCTTTCTTTTTGTAACATTATTTTCAGGAGTTAGAATGCTAGCTCTTTATACAGAGGAATCTATGTTCAGGTCCCAGTGTCTGTGTTGGGAATGACCCCAGTTCTAGGTGGCTCTCCTCTACTGACTTCAGTGGGTACCTGAAGTCATGAGCACATACCTGCACACACACAAATACACACACACATACACACACACACACACACACACACACACAGAGAGAGAGAGAGAGAGAGGGAGAGAGAGAGAGAGAGAGAGAGAGAGAGAGAGAGAGAGAGAGAATTACAAATGAATAAATCTCAAAAAGATTCTGAGCATCTAGAAAAAGGAACCACATGGTGGTATAATCTATTGGTGGCAATCCTACTCAAAGTACTGTTTTCTTGTAACAACCATCATTATTAAGACAAAAACCTCAAGTACAGGATCCTTAAAATGTGATGAAGTTTTGGGGATAAAATAGGTTGTTATTGCAAACAAATAAAAGGAAAGGTAGGAGATTAAAGTGATTAAAGTAATTTTAGTTTGTTGTAAATTTTATTATTTTTAAATCTCATAAAGCAATGATGTGTGCTATGTTTGAGTAAATTACTCTGACAAAATGACTGGAGATTTGTCATCCTAGAGTGTGCTAGCAATCAGAAATTATTTGTTGTAGCTATCAATCACTATGTGACTGAGTCAGTTTTATTTCCCTTTGTGGTCATTGACTTGAGCCCTATCCATTCATCATGACTGCTCCCTACTTTGGCTTCTAGATCTTTGCTGGATAGATTTTTCTCCATGAAACATGCTTCCATCCAATCCAACAAGTCCATACCATTACTTCACTCTAGAGACTTATAAGTCTTTTTTGTCTTGTGCCAGATATTAAAATTAAAAATTGCAAATGTTTTAAAAATTGTTAAAATTTTCACACCTATCTTGATTAAAATTTTGAAACAAGTAATCTGAAGGATAGTGTTTTATCACTGAAGGAATATTTTTCTAATTTTTGAAAATTTATTTTTTTCTTTCTTCTTTCCAAGCTTCATTGATTTGATATTGCTATTTATACATACCATATTCTGAGTCTAAAGTTCATGTCTTTATTTGTTTCATTCATTTTGATAACATCATATTTTTGTTGGGACATATGAGTTCTTCTTTGAGATTTTTAAAAGGTATTTTAATTTAGCTAATCTTTGTTTTTAAATGAGGTATTCCAAAGTTATCAAAGCAGTATTCATTAATTAAAAATCAGTTATAGTACAATAAATTATTTACATATGAATTACTACTGAAGGTTTTGTGTCAACAAGGTTGTAGGAGTTACTTTTCTGGCTCTTCTCTGATATGTAATTCTTTTACAGCCCTTTTCCTCTATTATTTTGTTGCACTCTGGTTCACTTAGATGGTCTTCTAGGCCTGAAGATGGACAGGTTTTCCTAATTACTGTCTTTGCGTAGCCCCCACTGGCCTCAAACTCTTAGTAATCTCTTCAGCCACATGATCTACTATGCCTGGCTCCTAAGACCTCGTTACCAGAGTTCCCTTAAAACAGATTAACCATCATCCTGACTTCACCATTTCGCTGAAAATATTTTTTGTAATTTCTACTGTGAAAAATTCTTGAGAGATTCCTTTTCTTCCTTTCATTTCTTTTATATTCCATCTCCTCCCCAGCCTGGTTTGTTTTAGGGGCAGATTTTGAAAATTGCCATTATGGAAAACAGTAAAATGATAACATGATAAAATCTCACTTATCCTTTATCTATTGATTTGCAAATTACTGGTACCTTGTCTATTTGTACGATTGTATATTGTATGATATTATATATTGTATATCATATGATATTATATATATATACAGTTTTAAACCATTTGCAAATCAATTTTAGAAACAGAGATGGCCTATAATTCAAAAATAGTTATAATCTAATATTGGTTTTGCATGATTTTGTGAGGAAAGACATAGTTTATTGCTTTTAGTAACAAATATTATTTAGAAAAATTAGCATAAAATTTAAAGGCATATTTTATTGCTTTCAAGATTATTTATGTAATTTTTGACATAACAATAAAATATTATAGCATATTTATTCTTAGAGTTCTTGAAGTTAATACACTTCAAGTTGTTGATGGAAGTCAGTGTGGTGCTTTGAATGGGAATGCTCCCTCCATAGGCTCATAGATTTGAAAGCTTCATCAACAGGAAGCAGCATTATTTGAAAGGATTAGCAGGTATGGCCTTGTTGGAGGAAGCCTGTCACTGGGGATGGGCTTTGAGATTTTAAAAGCCCAAGGCAGGTCCAGTATCACTCTCATCTTGCTGCCTGCCGACCTGGTTGTAGAACTCTCAGCTGTTTCTCCAGCACCATATCTGTGCGCATGCTGCCACCCTCCATGCCATGATGATAAGAGATTAAACTTCTGAAACTGCAAGCAAACCCCAATTAAATGTTTCATTTATAAGAGTTACCATGGTTTTGGTGTGTTTTCACAGCAATTATACACTGACTCCGGCAGTCAATGAAATTTTTGCTTTTGTATACTCACATAAAATTTGAAATAAAACCATAGAAATAAGTTTATGGAAATTAATTTTCCATTAACCTTGGTAAGTTCTGATTTAATGTTTTCTGATTGTTCTACTGCATATTGATGTTGAGAATCTCTTCTTATATATGATAAAGATTCTAGTTTTCTTTCACTTTCTGGATGCTTTCTCAGTTGTTGGTGCTCTTTCTCCTTGTGGTTGTCTTTTATTAGGTTTCAATTATGTGTGTTAATTGTATGTGTTATTGCCATTTAGTGTTTAATGGCTTCACAGATGCCCTAAACACACATTCAAACACAGCCTCTTTGTGTCCACTTTCCCTCACTCTGTCTATCTGATATGAGCATGAGAGCACATTCAGGTGGAAATGTTTGCTTCAATATATGAGATTACGTGCAGCATTTGTTTGGCTGTGCCTGCTTACTTAAGTTAATATCTTCCAATTACACACACTTTACTACAACTGATGGAATCTCATTCTCATGACTAGTGACTGAATAGTAGTACTCCACACATGTAGCTCTAAATATTCAGCATGCTCTGCTTTTTAGGCTTCCCCTTCCATTGGTCTGGATAGATCAATAGCTCTCTTAGTCCAGACCCTTATATTCTTGCAGGTTAAGACCTCTTAATCAAGTTTGTATCATAGATTAGAACTGTAATGCATCTTTTGGTCCTGTGTGATTCTTCTTACTTTTACTTTGATTTGAATTTTTCATATCCACCTTTTTCAAATGGATGATTTCACTTTAGGTATACACATGCATTACTCATGGGGGGTGGAGAGAGCTCCCACGGTGCAGTTAGTTTAAGCAGCCTCTTCTCAACCCAAGAATCTACTTTCCTCTTTTGTGGACAACAGTTCCCAGGCCAGATGGGGGTTTCAAGAGTTGTCAGAGAGCATCTCGGGACACTATCCATGGAATCTACCACAGTGGGTCATGAGAGGACTGAGCTGACCTACAACAGGTCTCCAAAGATTTGATTCCTCCACCAAATAATTACAAAACCGCATGGCTACATTCCTCTTCCCTTCTTATTCGGGATATTTTTATACTTTCTTTTTGAATAAAAGGTAGGGATTGAAAAGAATTCTGGTATTTTTATCTTGCATATTCAATTTATATCCCGTGGAAACAGCTAGCTGAGCCGGGGTCAGGGTAGGTCCCTGTTTTTAAGACGCTGATATCTTGGATTCTTGTTTTTTTCATTTCTCTGTGTTGAAATTCTATTTATTCTTCAAGGTCATATTATGTGATACTGTTTAAGGAAGTGCTTTTTATAGTTACCAAGCATGTAGTGACCTCTGAGTTATTATCACCTGCCATTTGCTGTCACTGATACCCACAGTGTCTACACACGTGCTTTATTCACTTTTTCGGGTTTTATAATTTTGACTCCTTTAAAGAAAAAGGAGGATACATATCCGGGCAGTGATGGTGCATGCCTTTCATCCCAGCACTTGGGAAGCAGGGACAGGTGGGTCTCTGTGAGCTCAAGGCCAGCCTGGTCTACAGAGCCAGTTTCAGGACAGGCACCAAAGCTACAGGCAAACCCTGACTCAAAAGAAAAAAGAAAAAAGTATACCACAGTTCCACAGTTGCTCATTTTTTTTGAGACCTGTGGTATTTAATATAGTATATTACATAGCATAGTCATCTGATAAATCTATATTGAGTTACTGATGCAACACAAAGAATAGCCTTTTACAAGCTGGATACAGATTGTCTCAAATCAATCAAACCCAGAGAGGTTTGTAGGATTTTGTACCATTACCCCACCCCACCCCTTTTTGAGAATACCATGGACTCCTCAAGGAGCTAACTCTGGGGGGACTACTGAATTTTATTTTCACATGTACACATTTACTTTTGTGAAAATATTACACAGAAAATTCTTAGAATAGAGAGACAGTTTCTCTGTTAATCTACAATTTCATAAAGTGTAAAGTTCAATTCTTCCTACAAATTAGTTACTAATGAAGTAAAATAAATATTAATATGCACACATTAT